AATAAATTGGCTGTTTAACRGGTTAGGGTTACATGACAAAAGATATATAGAGAGATCAAAAACCTTTGGTTCCTACCACCTGTTTGTGGTAAGCTAAAGACAGACTGTGTTTGGGATTTGGAAGCTGTGCTTTGTAAGTGTAAGTGGTGGTAGGTGAGGGGCAAATAGGAACCAGAGAGAGAAGGATTGGTTGGAGGAAGGGACATGGAAATAAAAAAAAAAATTCTAGAATAATTAAGCCAAGTGATATCTGCTTGGGAAAGATCACCTTTTGTTTTAGCCTGATGACCAGAAAGATGCTGGTAAGATAATTCTTCTAAGTGCTTCTTATTAATATATATTCAGAATATCTATTATCAGGTTTGGGGAAGATTTCATTGTTTCTAATTAGTACTAAAGCAATTATCAAAAGTAGGGTGGGATTGGGAAGTAAATTTAACATGACTTTCTACCCCTAGTTGCTCTGCTTGAAGATTTTTTTCTGAAGGGACTTGGGCAAGATAAATGACTGTTCTGATTCTATTTATATTTTGTGGTTACTCATAGAAATGTCCTTTTGTGTTACAGAAAAGCTTTTCTTCCAGAGGGTCAGATTATTTCTTATCCACCTAACTCTTTGATTTTTGGAAGTAACTCTTGATTCTATAATCTTGTGCCTGGGGCTAACGATTAGATGCTGAGCCCTTCATAATTGAGTTCATCTCATTTCTGCACCTCAATTTTGCCCACTCAACTTGCTTACATCAGTGATCCAGCTGTTACCGTGTAGGAGGCAAATCTCTGGGCAGGAACCAAGGAAGTGAATGGATGAGAGAAAGCCATTTTCTGCTTTCTGAGCTACTTCTAAGGTCAGATCTGGGATCCTGCGCAGTTAGCGAGATCTGGGTGCAGCTGTTTCCATCTTCAGCAGGCATCCTCTATAGCCTTTTCATGGTTCAAATCCTTTGTCTCTCCTCCTTCTCCACCTCAGGTTGACTCTTCTGAGATCTCTGCTCCACAGTGGAGCACCCAGAAGTTCTACAATTTCCTTCCTACAACCAGGAAGAAGGGAGGCTAAACACACAGGGCATAGGAGGTATGGAGGGACTGGAGGGTGGAAGTTTAAATCCCTGATTTTATGCAAGTGCTGGAAGTACTATTGAGACCCTTTGAGGATCTTTAATCAATTCCCTGCTGTGGATAGGTCTCTGGACCTCATTATCTCAGTCTCTGAGGGAAAGATAAAAAGGAGACAACTTGTGAGATGCCTGGATGGGAAGTCCAGTGGGTGCCATGCTCTTGTTACTACTGCTGAAGGATGTGGAGAAAATTTTGAACAAACTCTGCAATTCCAGGAAAGCAGAACATGTGCTATTGATAATGTTGCATATATGGTACAGCACAGTTCCAATTATGTACATTGGAAGTGACCTTGGGCATGGTAGGCATAGATGATCATATTTGATATTTTGAAAGGTCTAGACACAGAAAGACAAGTATCACATAATCTCACTGTTGTGGAATCTAACAAAGTGGGTCTCAGAAAATGTGAGTAGAATAGTGGTTACYAAGGGCCAGGGAGAGAAAGAGGGGAAGTGGGATGGGGAGAAGGTGCTCGATGGGCACTAATTTACAGTTCTATATGRGAAATGAGTTCTGGTGTTCCATTGCATGGAAGGTGACTCTGTTAAAATTGAATAGTGAGGGTTAGGGTGAAGCTCAGTGGTACAGCGTGTGCTTAATAGGCCCTGGGTTGAATCCTCAGTACCGAAACAAAAAAAAAAGAAAGGGAAAAAAATAGAAGGCAAGCAATAAACAAATTTTAAAAAACTTGAAAATGAGTTTTTATATGTGAATACAAGGATATGAAGAGTTAACCATCCATTTTTGGACAYTGGGAAAGCTGAGGGAGAAGACAATTAGAGACAGGAAGGTAGGGCCATTTCAGTGTTTTTATTACTCAGATAATTGAAATGAACTTGTTGGCTCTCTCTTGGGACTGTAAAGGTAAACATATTAAGGAATGTTCCAGAGTCCCCAAACCAGTCCCAAGAGTTTATTCCAGTTTGTTGACCTGGTTGGTCCTGTGGCCTCACTCCCATGTTCTTGGTGGACATGCTGTATACACATTGAAGTGTGATGAGCCAGTGTGGCTCAAATCACAGTCGCCAGATGATCTGGATCAGAATCTCTTGTGATGCTTGTTAAATTCAGATTTCTGGGCCTTGTCCTTTCCTGACAGATTCAAAAAATCGGATATTTATGTCAACCACGGGGTTTGGGAATTTTCACATACATATCATTGTCTTCATGATTTCTTTACAAGTTTGATTTCATAATCAGAATTTTCTATTCCTTCCATAATTAAATGTTTATCTTTACTTTTAGCCTAGAATTACTACCCATCTCAGTTGCCTGTTATATTGATTTACTAGTTTATRTAATAAAATGCTATAGTCTTGATAGCTTAACAAAGGATTTATTTTTTTATAGTTCTGAAGGCCAACAAAATCCTAGATTAAGATGTTGACAGGCTTGGCTTCTCATGARGCCTCTTTTCCTAGTCTCTTACTATGATATCACATGACCTTTTATGTGTGCACGTGAACTCCTAACTTCTCTTAAGTATCCAAAGTTTCTCGTTAATAAGGGCACCAGTTATATGGCTCTATCCTAGTGACCTTATTTTCACTTACTTATCTCTTTAGTGAATTTATCTCTAAATATAATTACATCCTGAGGCTCTTCAAATCAGGACTTTATCATAGAATTTAGGGTAGAAACAATTCAGTCCATCACACCTATTTAGCTATAATCCTGTCAAACATCTATCCATGAATTTAGCAAATATTTAATAGCAAAATAATATTTCACATACAATAAGAGATGCATTTTATTCTACTTGCCTGTTTTAGTTAGCTTTTGCATTGCTGTGATGAAAATAYCCAAAAAGAACAACTTAGAGGGCTGGGGTTGTAGCTCAGTGGTATAGTGCTTGCCTAGTATGCGTGAGGCACTAGGTGTGATTCTCAACAAGTAAATAAAGATACATAAGTAACTAAAAAAAATTAAAAAATAATCAAAAAAGCAACTTAGAGGAGAAAAAAATTATTTTGGGCTCATGATTTTAGAGCTCTCAGTCTATTACATGGATGACGCCATTGTTCCCAGCCCAAGGTGAGGCAGTAAATCATGGGGGAAAGGCCTAACAGAGGAAATTTGCTTCCCTCTTGGCAGCAAGGGAGTTAGGGAGTGTAGAGACAGAGAGAGAAAAAGGAGAAGGGGCCATGGGGAAGATGTGCTCTGCCAGAGCATGACACCAGTGACTCATCTCCTCTAATCACACCCCACCTACTTATGGTTAACACCAGTCAGTACATTCACTCTAGGATGGACTGATGGGGTTATTGCCCTCATGATMTGATCCTTTCACCTTGGAACATTTCTGCATTAATGGAAATGGGAAACATATCCAAAACATGTCCATCTTGAGTAATATTTAAGGCCAACCTCTTGGAAGAGAAAGCTATTATTAGATATGTTTTGAGTAGACTTCAGTGCATTTGTTTGGAGGGAGTGAGGAAGGTGGGAGGGAGAGGGAGGAAATTTTGATTAATATTTGATAAATCTTTCAATAGCCTTAATAGAAAGAGCATAAAGATTAGTTCATATTATAGGAAAGATAATGCTATCTTCTCTATATCTTAGCCATGTATCTTCWGTGAGGGAAGAATAGGATATAATRTAGAGAAATTTGAATACACAAAGTYTGAACRTCACAATCTCAAAAAAGTTCAACTTTTGAGGTCATACAGACCTGAAWGTAGTTCTGGACTCCAGTTTATTAGATATGCAATATTGGTAATAGTAATTAATCTCATTAAAACTACTCTCTAAAAAGTCTATATGAGAATTAAAAAGGAAACCAGCCCTTTTAYAATAATAAGATGGGACTTAATGAAGACAGAGGTAATTTAAATTTYAACAAAATGATTGAATTTCAATGTTTTCCTAGACGAATATTAAAACATTTAAAAATGCACACATTTCAATCAACATTTAGGTAAAAAAGGACACTAAAATCATTGAAAACACAGAGCCATTTGAAACAAGTTAGCATTTTTATGGTGAAGGTAATAATAAATAAAGTCATTTGAAAAATACAAAAACAGATTCTTCAATGACAATCTTTATCTACCACAAGAGCAGTGCAGGGGTGAGCAACAAAGGTGTGCGGAGTCAGCTCCAGACACCACCCTGCAGGTCCCTGTATTTAAGAGGGTGGGAGGTAGGAAAGAGGTAAGAATACAGCAAGTGCTACTCAACCTTGCATGCAGCTGACGTTTCCTGGACAGTTATGTTCCCGTTATCTTGGTGTAAACAGGGCGAAGGGTACAGTGCTCATCCACAATAATGGAATTACCTTAGAACAGGAATGAGAAAGCAAGGCTCAGGCTTCTGCCAAGAACAGTCCTGCTTCTGTGATTCTAGAAACAACGAACAGTGAAATACATGTCAAGGTGTGAGAAAGTACTTCCCAAAGATCCAAGGCCATCATGAGAAGAGGTGAGAACTCTAAGAATGAGGAATTGTGAATACAGAAGAAYTGAGTGAAGCAGGCTTCTTCAACAATCTCAGGGTGATGAAAACAGAAGGCACCCAGGACACTAGGAAGCATGCAGTTCCATTAGGGTGAATACATGAATCTGTGTATTTGAACTGCACAAGCCATTGTGTAAATATGTGTCATTTTGTATGTATTCATATTCATATGTGCCTATGTAAAGTTATGCAAACACATTACTACTACTACTACTACTACTACTATTGCAATCTTCTCTCATTCCTGATGCTTTGGGAAATTCAAGGATCTAAAACAAATCATTTTTGTATATAGCCCACTATCTTGAAGCTCCACTGGTTCTACTTGCTTCCCTTTTGGGTAAAATGCTCTCTCACTGGTTTCCCTTTTGGCAACTAGAGTTAGGGCAACAAAACTGTAAAGGGAAGAAATTGCTRAGCCAAAACTTTCTCCTTCTTCTGACTCTAGGTAAAGTCCTAGAGGAGGACACCACTACCTATATATATGAATATATAGTGTTATAAGTCTCTCCTCCTGTATCTAGACATATGTGTAATATACTGAAGCAGGCCAGAGACCCCCACCCAGAAGACTCTTATCATAATTAAGCAGAAACCCCCACCATATTTGTGTCATGTAAATCCCTCTTCTTATCAGAGAGTTTTTTTTTTTTTTGCATAGAACATCAGCTATCAGCAAAAATCTGCAGAAGGTAATGTGTTTTGTAGTTTCCTCTTTGTTTATAAATGCTAGGTTTGCAGAAAAAAAGATGCGAAACCCCTGTCTATCTAAAGGATAGAACGAAATGCACTTTTTTATATGAACCTCCTAGTCCCCTAACCTCCACTGGATATGAAGTTCAAAGTATTTCTATACTTATGGTTCAAAGGAAGAATTCTTAGGTGAGAGCCACCTCTGAACCCTGCAGTCAATAAAACTGCTTCCAGAAAATTCCTCAAGTGTCCAGCCTCTTCTGTCCCACTGCAGTACACAAATGATTCACACAAGCTAGCTAATTGGGACATATGTACCAACACAAATAAAGGTGGCACAGAAACTATGCACTGTGGGGACATAAACAAAAACAGTAAGAAAGAACCACAGCAGCCTGTGTGAATATGTTGTATGACTTGGCTGAGCCCAGAGATGAGGGAAATTCCTCACAAAGAAACAAAACATTACATGGTTTTCTCTCTCCTTTCCACCCTTRCAATATACATAATAACTAAAGGAAGAAGTCAAGATGCTTGATTAGAAGATGCTTGATTAGTATCTCACATGGAAAGCTATAACCCTCAGCCTCTGTTGCCTTTTTGATTATCCAGGAATATTTTCATATTATTTCAATTTGGTTCCTTTCCTCAGACTTCCAGGGCATTTGCTCCTTTTCTTACTTTTGTGYATGTGTCCTTAGCAAGTACCCTTCGTGAAAAGCCACCACTGGGAATGTGAGTGTGGATATTTGCAAATAGGTTGCCAATGAATAAAAATTATGATTATTATAATAACATAACAAAAATGTTAAGAGGTAAATTAAGAGTGATCATCAATTAAATTCCACTTACCAGAGGATTTGAAAGATGAAACTTGTGCTACTGTTTTGAATTTTCTTTTATTTTTTTTGGGGGGGGGTCAGTACTGGGGACTGAACTCAGGAGCACTCAACCACTGAGGCACATTTCCCAGACTTCTTTTTTTTTTTTGCATTTTATTTAGAGACAGGTTCTCACTAAGTTGCTTAGCACCTCACTTTTGCTGAGGCTGGCTTTGAACTTGTGATCCTCCTGCCTCAGCCCCCTGAGCCGCTAGGATTACAGGCGTTGAATTTTTCTACATAAGAACAGTTAATATTTATTGAGAATTGTGTGTTTGTCAGGCACTGTGTTAGCGATATGCATGCATGAATTTTCTCATTTAATTGTCACTTCATCTCTCTAAGGAGAAAAGGTATAATTATTCCTTTTTTTTTTTTTTTGAGGTACTGGTAATTGAACTCAGAACCATGTACATGCCAGGCAAGTGCTCTATCACCGAGTTATATCCCCAACCCTTTATTTTATCTTGAAAAGTGTCTCACTAAGTTCTGTCTTGAACTTTCAATCCTTCTACATCCGCCTCCTGAGTAGTTGGGATTACAGGTATGTGCCAYTGCTCCCAACTTTACTTCTATACTCATTCCTGAATTAAGGAAACTAAAGACCAGAGAGCTAGGTAATTTTCCAAAGGTTACACAAACTATTTATTGCAGAGCTAATTAATTATTTTTTGTTGGTAATTAAGAGACTGTTATTTTTTCACAGCATACGTGAAATAAATGAACAAAAACAAACAAACAAATAAAACAAACAAACAACGTGGTGAACTTTTTTCTCTTCCTGCTAACTTAGTCCTTTTGAAAACACCTAAGTGATTTTACAAACTCAAACTTCTTAACAATACGTTGGCGGATTTGCTTGGTCTTGATGCTATAGACAATGGGGTTCATGAGGGGTGGTACCAACAGATAAACATAAGACATAAGAAGGTGCACAATGCGGGGCAGATGTTCACCAAAGCGATGCACAAGAGACAAGCCGATCATGGGGATGTAGAAGAGCAGCACAGCGCAGATGTGGGAGATGCAGGTGTTGAGGGCCCGGAGGCGCTCCTGGTGGGAGGCGATGCTCAGCACAGTGCGCAGGATGAGAGCATACGACAGGAATATGAGCAGGGAGTCCACACCCACGGTGCAGGCCACCACAAAGAGCCCGTAGACGTGATTGACAATGATGCTAGAGCAGGCCAGCTTCATGATCTCCAGGTGCAGACAATAGGCATGGGCCAGCACGTGGGAGCGGCAGTACTGGAAGCGCTTAAGGAGGAACGGCAAGGGGAGGATGAGCAGGGCACTTCTAAGCACTGAGCTCAGCCCCATCTTGACGATACGCGCAGGCGTCAGGACACTGGAGTAGCGCAGTGGGTTGCAAATGGCCACATAGCGGTCAATGGACATGGACAACAGCACCGAGGACTCCACCAGAGACAAGGTGTGGATGAAGAAGAGCTGAGTGAAGCAGGCAGGGATGCCAATCTCTCTKGCATCAAACCAGAAGATGCCCAGGACGGTGGGCAGTGTGGATAGGCAAAGGCCCAAGTCGGTGAGGGCCAGCATGGCCAGAAAATAGTACATGGGCTCATGGAGGGTGGCATCAGTTCGGATGATGTGCAGGATGGTGAGGTTCCCAAGGATAACCGTCAGGTAGATGGAGCAGAAGGGAATAGAGATCCAGCCATGGAGATCTTCCAGACCTTGAAAGCCCGTCAGAAAGAAGGTGGCTTTTTGGAGGCTGCTGTTGTAAGGAATGGTCATGACTTTACAATTTTAGATTCACCAACCTGCGATATAGAATGAGATTCCTGAAGATTGACAGGGCTGATTTCTCAGGACTAGTGAGTCAGGAAGGGTCTGCAGATGGCATGGGAGAGAATTGGGGCTCTGGATCAATTAGACTTTTCCAGAAGTTTCAGAAGGGGAGTTTTTACAGGGATTTCTACAACCCATGAGAGCCATCAGATTCTCCATCAATGTTGGCCTCTTAGTAGTTTAATTATGTCACCTCAGATAACACTTTTTAAATATGTTACCTCCTGAAAAAAATCCCCCAATTCAATAACTGAAGTATTTAGAAATCTATATCATATATACGGGGAATTTGTACTATACATCACTTTACATAATTTCAACTAGGATCAGGTGTCTACAGTGTGCCTTCAAATGTATTTATAACTTGCCTAGCCTTTAGGGGAGTTCAGAGGGAGTGTTTAGTAAATGTTTATTGAACTCTTTGAAATTGAAACTTGTGACCAGAGAGATGTATTTCCTGAATSTACATAACAGCTTTTGGTAGGTTAGGAGGCCAAATGTATTATGTAAATCTRAAGACTGGAACTGAATAACATCATAGAAGAACCTGGGCCTTCAGAAAAAAAATTAATTCTAGAAAAGGGGACAGGATAGACGTGTATCTCTGATATCAGACTGATTAAKCTGGTCTTCTGTGTGGAGATGGGAATGCAGAAGAGGTGTGCATCAAATCTGAGGCACAAGAAATTAAGAAGCGAAATCTAATATAGCTGGTAAATAGCCTCTAATCCTTAGCATAAGATGAGGAAAYTAAATCTGAAGGACTTGGAGTCAGCTGTGTCTCTGGGGCTTGTGTACTGTGACAACAGATATAGATTCTTCAAGTGCATGGACTGGGTTGTCCTTTGCTCTCCTTTTCAGTTACACAGAAAAATGCTCTATTGTGTTTTATACATGCAAATGCAATGCAACTAGTATATTATTTATCACATGCATAAGAAGTTTAAAATAAGTAATATTTATTAAATATGCTATAGACTTGTTAYGTTTTGAAATGTCTAATGTGAATTGTGTCATTCAACTCTGACACCAATATTACCATATAGGTTCTATTCTCATGAGCAGAGTTTGGAAATCATGGCACAGAGAGGTRAAGCAATTGGGTAAGTCTGCAGAGAACGTAAGGGCTAAGGAGAAAATCCCAACCCTGACAGTATAGTCTGGAGTTTACATGATCACTTTACAACATATTTTCTACTACGATTGCATACCAACTTAACTGTTACAAGAGTTAGACAATTAAAAAGCAAATTAAAAAGCTTAAAATTTCCTACCTTGGGCAAGCATGTGTACAGAGATTTCCATTATATAAAAAAATGATTAATGAACTGAAATGGATAACAATAGAGAGGTAAAATGTTTGGGGGACTGAGTTCAGTTTTGGACATGCTGAACACAAGTTTACAAAAGAATTCCTGCTGTTATGTGGTGGTGCCCATCTGTAATCCCAACACCTTGGGAGGCTGAAACAGGAGGATTGGAAGTTCAAAGCCAGCCTCAGCAATTACATGAGATCTGTCTCAAAAAAGAAAAAGGGATAAAAGGTTTGGAGACGTGGCTCCGTGGTTAAGCACCTCTTGGTTCAATCCATGGTACCAATAAGGAAAAAAAAAGAAAAGAAAAGAAAGAAATTCTTGGTGAGAGAGTCTAGAGGATGTGATGTGTACTGATATTTGGTTTGAATGAGAGCTTGAGTTATAGGATGTCTGCCAAGTGTATGGAAAAAAATGCTAGGAGACGAAATATGAGGAGGAYGGAGAGGGGCTCAAATCACAACATTGCAAACAATTTAAGTGAAGATAGTATATAATATAGAAGTTAGAAAAATCTACAGATGAAATACAGGAAGAAATACAGGAAATTGAGGTATTCTTTCAAAAGTCTTCCCTTTTCTTAGTAAGTTAGAGAGATGTCGAAGAACTAAAAATAATTAAAAAAAAAAAAAAGAATAAATGTCTAGCTTGGTTTGACAATGTCACATAGTGACAGAATTGCAGGTCTTCTATCCCAATCCATCTGCAACTTAAAACTGCCTTACCAGCATGATATGAGGATTTAGCAAGTAGCCAGGACGGAGAGCTCAGTGTGTGTTCCTGGTGCCAAATGCCCAGTCTCTCTGTGTTCTAGACTATTCTCTGTGTGATGCTGCCTGCAATCATACCTGAGCACCAATAGCTGAAAAGAACAGGACTCAGAAGACATACTTCAGAACTCAGGTTGCACTGTAGCTTGGCTACAAGATATCCCGTATTTAAAATGTGAGGATTTTTGAAATGTCCASGAGTTTCTCCTTGGGGACTTTTTCTGAAGCTGAGAATTCCCGGAAGAGTATTCATGGTTCTTAGCTGATGAGAAGCCCTAAAACATGGGCATCAAGGGAAAACAGGTACGGAGGGAAATCTATACTGTGTGTGTGCAAGGGTTACCTTCAAGATATTAGTATGTTTCTAGCTGTGGATTCCATGTTTTGAAACTATATATTAAACACCCAGCTAGACATGGAGAGCAGGGTGGAGGGAGAAAGAGAGAGATTTGATTCAGATAAAAGATAAAGCTGATCAGCATTACTTCTGATTCTTTTTTTCTTTCTCTCTTTGCCCCTCCCTCCTTCTTTCCCTCCCTTCCTCCCTCCCTACCTTTCTTCCTTCCTCCTTTCTTTCCCTCTTTGCTTTCTTTATCTCATAGTCCTGGGGATGGAATAAACCTTGGGGTGCTCTACCTCTGAGGTACACTCCAGCTCTTTTTATTTTTTGTTTTGAGACAGGGCCTTGCTAAGTTGCTGAGGCTGGCCTCAAACTTGTGATCCTCCTCCATCAGCCTCAAGAGTTTCTGAGATTTTGAACTTGTGACACCACCGTAGCTACCTCTGACACTTTTAACCATATGATTGTGTGACCAAGGACAAATTACTTAATCTCATGAGATTATTATTTTCTTGTTTTAAGTGAGGAATACACCYCCTCCTTTTTTCAACATGGATTTTGATACTATCAAGAATTCTCATCTGTTTTAGAGTCAACTGATTTGGTTTGAGGTTAGGGAGAAGGAAGGAAGTTCTTGGTCTTTGGTCTTAAACTATTGGTTTCTTAGTTACTATTAGACATTCCTGTGTTGTCCTCCYAGTATACGTGATTTGAGTCACAATTCAGAAACTCATACTCTAAATACTGATTTAATACCTTCAAATAGTTCACTTTTTTCAATTACCAATTACCAAGACTTCTTCTAAGATCAATTTAAATGATTGATACATACACCTGAACAGGATAGCTGATACTTAATGCATTCTTGGTAAATACTTAATAGTATTTAAAGTAATTAGTAAAGTGAACAAGATCTTAGTTTTCCAAGAACTGATAGATGGGTTTGCTTTACTTTTAGGAGAGATGTTACTATTAAGTCTAATTTTTTATTAAAACTATTTTAGTGGTCAACACATATGATAAAATCATTAATAAGTATTGCTTATTATATTTAATATTATTTATATTCACAACCTCATTTATTATTTAAAGTGTATTATTATTAACTTCATATATTTTAACTCTTTAAGAAATGCTAAAGTGTTTAAGAAACAAGAAAAGCAAGCAAAACATAAATATAAACCAAACTAGAGGTTATTGCTAAAGCTAAAGTTGAAATTAATAATATTGGAAAAACACATAGGAGGGAGACAAAGACTATTGCAAGTCCTAGTTGTTTGAGAAATGCAAATGTTGTTCAATATGAAGAATTCCACAAATTCATATGCCATCCTATGATTATATGAATTTGGAGATAAATAAGAGACAGGATTCTAAAAGGGTTCCCAACAAGAGGCTATATACAATCCCTTTGCCAAGGGCCTGTTGAGTTATTGACATAAATTTCTGGATTTCTAAATGTCTGCCTACACTGGTCTGCCTCAAATGCAGTTAGTGCATCTTTATATAATCTCTGTTACCTCCTGATGCTGGTCAACTGAAGAACTAGAGTGATCAGCTCATGTCTAGAGAGTAGAAGGAGGAAGAAAGAAAGAACCAAGACAGAAACAAACAAGAACTCCATGTAATATGCACTCAAGAGACATGGAATGTCATGTATGTATCAGTAAAAAATCAAAACACATTACAGTAATTAAGAAATTGATGAAGACTGKGTAAGTTGAGGTATCCAGGGTATGTGACTCTTTAAACACTTTTAAGCAAACATGTTTAGAGGCTGAGTCACAGTAGTTATTAGCAAAGAATTAAAAAATAGGACAATACATAAGGTATAGTCAGGTCATTAGAAGAAGTAGGAAGGTGATACATTGATTTATTTATTTTTTAGGGACTTAGATTAAGTTTTGTTAGAGTAGTGATATTCCTCTTAGGGATGAGAATGAGATAAGTTGTAGAATATATACAGAAGACATGATGTCACATGGCAAAAAATGAAATCACTCATGTTTCACTGCTTTTAAAGGATGAAGTATGTGTATATGCTGTAGATAGTGGAGAGCCTGAGAAATGTTGGGCTTAATTCTCCCTATTCCATTCCTTCCTTGGTTGCTGAGAGGAATGGATGTTGGAACTGAACTGAAATGCAAAATAATTATAGCTTTCCAAGTCCTATCTGATGATCAGTCTAGATAGTAGTTTGTATGACACCATCGTGAGCAGCGCAGGATGGTCTTCATTGCTCARCAATGAGGATGCATGGAAATGCAGRGGAGATCCACACTGATCTATCGTTTATAGTTATGAAACTGAATGTAAAAGTAAAGAAGCAAAAATTCTGTCTCTGATGGGTTAAAGGCAATTTCAAATTATTACCATTTTTTCAAAAGGTGGAATTGGTTTCTCCTTCCTTTGAAACTTACTTTCCCCTTAATGTGTAACTAAGAGGTACAGTAGAAGTGACCCTATACCTTGCCAGGTACAATGTTTTWGATTTAGAAGCTTCCAACCTGCTTCCAGGAACACATTACTTTCTCTTATGGTACTCCTTTGAATCCAGTCATCATGTTATTAGAAGTCCAAGATTTGTGTA